CCAGCCAGTAAGGCTGGTTGGGGAATTCTGGGAGTTGAAGTCCACACATCTTAAGGTTGCCAAGGTGGAAAAACATTGAGTTAGAGAAAGGAGGGATATCTTGAGGCTTAAACGGATGTCATTTGGCCAAAAGACAAAATTTTACTGTTTTGATACAGGGACTTCAGATCCATCTAGTATTTAATATTACGAAGACTCTGAAAACAGAAAATCAACAGAAAACAAGGTAATAGAGGTCCTTTTCAAGGGACGTCACCCAAATGCTTTTACCAAATTATCAGTTGTGCTTTGATGGGAAGTGAGCTCAGTTCTAAACCATCTCTCTCTCTCTCTCTCTCTCTCCCCCCATTCATTCATTCATTCATTCATTCATTCATTCATTCATTCATTCATTCATTCATTCATTCATTCATAGCAGGCTAAGAATTCAGGAAGTGGTCATCCAATACATCTGGAGAGAACCAAAACAGATAAACTGGAGTAAAAATCTTGGACACAGATTTTTGTGTCTCAAAAAACAGCTTCCAAAGTCCCTTTGGATAAAATCTGAACCCTTTCCAAAGTGGTTGTAAACCAATTCCTTTAATTAGCTTAATTAAAACAACTGAGCAACTGGACTGCTGCAAAAACTCGGAAGTACTGCTGTGGAATAAGCGCCCACTACTCATCAATTTAAACGACGTTTAAATGAATATACTGCTAATTATCCAAGCCAAGATCTGAAATTCTGAGATACAGTCTGGCTACCTGTGAACACGACATGGATCAGAGGAAAAAAGGCTTACGGAAAGATCTTCCTGCAAAGATCTACGTGGAACGAGAAAGGGGCAGAGAACAATCCAGTCCTGCGCTATCCATTTTCATGTGGGTTACTTACACTGAGTAACCCATCTTGCTCTGCAGTAGTAATTCTATTCTGGAGGACAGTTCTGACTATGAAGAGCTCTTCTGCAAATGGAAGAGAGCGAGGAGAAAGGTGTGGTGTCCATCCTGTTGAGGGATACCAGCCCCTTCTCATATTCCCCAGATGTTTTGGACAATTCCCACCATTCCAGGCAGATGGAAAGTGTAATCCAAAACATTAGAAGGAATGCCAGGAGCCTTGCTAAGTGTGAAATATTATGCTTGAAATCTATTTGTTGACCAATAGGATTAACCAGGGATACATACTTTGTTTCCTCAGGAAGTAGGCTTATTAACACTTTGCTTTCTTCTCAGGAGTAACTCTCCTTGCCTACATTGAATTCTAAAAATATACAAATGCGTTCTGGCACTGGTGAAGTAAAACACTGGCTCACTCTAATACGAACTGAAAGTGAGGAAAAATATATCTTGCCTTAGAACATCACCCACATGATAGTAAAAATTACTATTTAAAACAGTGTTTCTCAATCTTGGCAACCCTTAAATGGGGGGGCGTTAAAACCCCCAAATTCCCCCCCCCTCAAAAACGGTGTGGGGGTGATGGGGG